AAAAATTTATCTGTGGACCTCAAAAAAAACCCACAGAAGATGTAATCAACAGAAAAACCATTTCCACAAAAAAAAACTGTTAAAGCATACATACTGCACATGTTCCTACTACGTATTATATATGCCATGATGCTAAATACACCATAGACACCATGTCATGTTATGTTTTTTTTTTTTTTAAAAAAAGAATTTACAAATACTCAAAACTACAGCAGCAACTCATTTTGTAAGTTTTGCAAGCTTACCATGTCATTAGCCGTATAGAGAGCCTGATAGTGTCTGATTCCCTCTTTTGGCAGCATTCTTGCCATGTCAAGCAAAATTTCGAAGTCAATAATCAGTTCGTGTATTAAATGGTTGTATTCCGCGATTTCACAACGTTTCAGCTGCAACAGGAAAGCAGTTCATTCGCTTTTCTTATAGGACGTGAATACGATGCAACAACTAGCAGTAATCGCTAAACAAAACCTCCACTTATATCGTCTTCCAAAATAAATAATTGGCCAACGCACGGGCTGCCCGTGCGAAGATGCGTTTTTTGTATAGTTCCTCGCAGTATTTGTCGTTAACGGCACTGGATTTTCCGACAGATGCTTCTGACTAAAAGAATTTCAGACTGACCGCCAGGACTGTCAGGAAAAATCTCTTCAAAATTCCAGTCTTCTAGCTTCTCACGTTCCCGAGTTAGCAACTTATGCGAAAGAAACCTTCACGGGCCTGTACGTAGGTACCACACTTACCCGCGGGCAAGGTTTGCGCTCGTTAATACCCGCCTGGACGGGGAACATCCCCCTAAGATTTCAGCTTTCTAGCGTCTCAGATCCTCGAGTTATGAACACATCCCCAAAAAAAATTTGGCGGGCCCGTACAGGGGTACTATGCTTACCCGTGGGCTGGTTTTGAACTCATTAATCCCCATTTGGGCGACGAACATCCCCCTAAGATTTCAGCTTTCTAGCTTCTCAGATTCCCGAGTTATGAACTTACGCGTAAAAAACTTTGGCGGGCCCGTGCGCGGGTACCACGCGAGTAATGGCGCCCATTTTGGGGACTGGGGCCCGTACGTGCATGTAGATTAAGTTCCAAAAGTTTCAGCCCTACAGCTTTTATAGGTTTTGAGATGAAAAATCGGGACAGACGCACACACAGACAATCCCTCGTCGATATGCGTTTTCGCATTGCATAACTGCAAAAAACGCATAAAAAGGTACATAAAAATGTGCGGCACAGAAAAAAAGCAGCTGCTTGGTACAGACGAACCTGCTGTAATCTTGGTAAGATTTTCCTTCACAAACTGTTTGCTTTAAAGCCCCTCACCAAAATTTACCTCAATTTGACTCGAAAATAAAAAAAAGGTTTTTGATCTGAGATTTCCCCCGCAAACTGTTTGTTTGAAGAAGCACTGTCAAAATTTACTTTAATTTGAATAGAAAATGAAAAGTTTGCTGATCTTTAGCTACTTTAGTATACAGTTTGCTGCGAATGAAAAAGCTTCACTTGAAATTGCTTATCCATCTTCGCTGGCCGTATTCCATAACCATCGCCGTCGCCACCCCGATCGCTACAGGATGCTTCGACGTAAAACTTCAGCGGTATCGATAATGAACCATAAAGCTCGAAATCAGTACGTCCAAAATCCGGCGATAAACCTACAAAACACAAATGGGTAAAGCCAAAAGACTGAAAATTGAATGTTTTGACAAAACAAGAAAATAAACTTGCGGCAATTTCAGAATACTGCGTGCCACTTCAAAGACTAGTAAAAATAAATGTTCAGCATCATTCCTTTGTACATAAATAAACATAACTAATGAAAATCAACAAAGGCTAAAATAATCGAAGTAGCAGCCTGGAGCTGTAAACTATTGATGTCCAGATCATCTTTAGCAATTCAAACGCTGCCTCAAGGCAAATTATGAAAAGCTTGGAAAATATCGGATACCCCGCCTTACGCCCCTTTTGGCAGTACACGGACTGCAGTGGAAAAAAGAGTTACATTTTTTACCATTGCAATATTTTAGAATACATTTTAATAGTGGAGTAAAAAGATTGGAATTAAGTGTCATGTATAAAAAGACATTTTACGATGCAGTCTGTGTTTCATCCCTAAGCTGTATACACAGACCGAACAATGCATGCGGGTAGGAGTGGGAATCGTCAGTACAGCCTCCTACCCGCTATTTATTGAAAAGACATGTAACTAATTTGCAAGAAGGATAAGTGAGAGAAGAGAAAGTTTTATTAATTTCTTAACATTACGAGCTTTTTCTTCTTGCAACATTAAAATACCCCTATTATTTCTATTCAACAGCCCATACCGGTTTCCTTAATAATTTTAATATAGTTCCTCCAATCAAGCTCTTCATTTACATGGGCTAGACGCATAGCATTTAGTACTACGCCATCAAATGATTTTTCGTATTTAACAACCGAATGAGCTGATTCTCACTTATGCATCCCAGCACCTCGTTTAGAGCAAGAGCCTCGTCTACTGCTTAGGTGCATGTGAATTGTTTGTGTTGAATCTGGACGAAGAACATCTTCACCATATTTCATTTCTCCAGCTTTTCTGGTTTCTGATCGATCAGTTTTATTAATGAAAATTTATGCTGTAATTGCTTCGGAATCAAGCTTGGTCGATAAAGAGTTCCAGTAAGCTATGCGCTCCCTGGTGCCTTAATTTCCTACAATCCTCTAGCTATTCGAAGAACTTGGGTATTTTTTAAACACGAAACTGACTGAATTTTCCCCCTCTCAGTCCTACTTCCCCCAATCAGCTATTACAAAATAGCAGTTACACGAGTTTTTCCAACATTTGCAGAATCAGGACGAGTTATCAGTTCCAAGAAAGGAGGAAAAAAACATACCCTGAATCACCTGGCCATCGGCTGACCATAGCGTAGCCTCACATTCAGCATCGACGCGCAGCACCACTCGTTTTTTGCTCTGCCACTTCTCCGGCACCACAACATCAATCTGGAACCAGTGCGTCGACCATGTTGGCCCAAATTTGAATCCAACTCCAACTTCCGTACCTGCAACAAATTAAATATGCTGAAAATTGCAAAATTCGCCACCCTAAATCAAAATTTACCTCTAGAAATTGAGAATTTATGCTTTCTCTCTCTTTTACACGTATACATATATCCCTTCATCCACAACTATCGCACTGAAGATCCAGTTGTGGCGCTGAGAAGGAATGGA